TATTAATTACTCTATAACTTGGTAAGTAATAATCGATTTTAACAAAATTAGTTAAATAATAATAGAGTTAAAGTACCGCCTACACGCTTTGTAAATCAACGTAGATGTAAGCTCGTAGAACCTTGTGCTACGATCGTTTACGAAAAAGGCAAACTGTAATTTATCTAAACACTATGTATGTATGTGAAAATGTATATCTTCTGAACATATGTAAAATGATACGAATTTCGGTAAAGTATATAAAAAATAATAAATTAAAATTTGCCTAGTTGTACGTGTGCGTGGTAACTTTTTCTACCAAATAAATTATCTATGAATATTTGCATAATTCAGATTTACTATTCGTAAAACTTATAAATATTATTTCATAGATAAAGTATTCACAAAAATTAAAATCAACTTACCGTTACGAGACAAAAGATAACAGGAACTTTTTACGCGATCCCGGATTCAAAATGTCGGCGACAGAACCGTGTCGGCCAACAGCCCGTTACGGTCTGACGCAGCCACCCTTTGGCACTAAGGCTAAAGGTGGGACAGGGATAAACTGGGAGGGGAGTTTGGTTGAATTTTTAAACGGCTTTCCATAAACGCTTTACAAGAACATAAAATTTTTCCTGGATAACAGGTGACCAATATGCCATTCCTTCATTTTTATTGAATATCTCAAATGTTTTGCAAATTCATTCAACTTTAAGACAGGAATACAATGTAAACATTTTTGATATTAATAAGATTTTGACTGAAGTTACAATTAAGATAATTCTGCAAAATTATTTTTAAAAGGTCGGGGCTTGACTTTTATTTTTGTCGCAGCAGAAAAATTAATGATCGAATCGGTCAGTTTCATTGTCTTTTCTTCGAGGATATTATTATAGAAAGCCCTCCATTGGAATTAAATGTATAAAACGGGAGTGGTTATAGAATACACGTCTTAATTTCTTTGCACTTATTTTATTACATAGATCAATGAGTAATTTTGTAGTAAACTTATAAATTACTTGCTTTCGCCCGCTACTCCGTCCGCGTCAAATTAAAAAAAGCTATAGTGAGTAGCCTGTGTGTTGTTCCCAACTATCCTCTACTTTGTCCTCCAAGAAGCGAGCCCACAATTTCCTCAAAGGCCGGCAACGCATCTGTAGTTCATCTGGTGTTGCGGGTTGCGAATGTCCATGGGCGTCGTTGACCACTGTGTTCCCGCCGCTCGTTTGACTCCTTCTTATATAAAAATAAAACTCTAAAGCAAATTTCATTGTGACAGCCCAAGCCGAGGTCCCCTCTCGGGGTCCCTTGTGCTAAGTCACTCCATGGAGCGACCACCGAAGCGATCTAAGAGCTCGGTGGCCTCCCAATCCCGGCCGAGGCCAAGTAACGGCCCGAGCCGAGGCTCCTGAGGGAGCCCTCGAGCCTAGTTACTCTTAAAAGAGGTTTAGGCTAAGCGCCATCCGCGCTGGGCCACCTCAAGCCCGGTGAATCTGTAAATGCCTCTTTAAGGCAAACAGTGACAAATCAGTCACAAAAAAAAAAAAAGCAAATTTCATTGAGATCCGTTTAGCCGTTTAGGCTACAAACTCTAACAAACATCTAAACATTCGCATTTATAATATTAATATGATTGTAGTTAAGAAGTGATTTACAGGATATGTTTAAAATGTTGTGAGCAGTGAAATTCATGGTATTATTTACTATTATACTACAATATACAAATTTTAACATTAAAAAAGGAATAATAAATCTCTAAGCTATCAAGCTTACGGTTTTCATAGCAAATTGCGAAAGTTTAGAATCTCAACCATCAAATATACGCCTACATAAATTAACGCTCGCCCTCAAAATACATTTGTAAACAAATTATGCTTAGAGCTGTTATGATTTTATCGCTTCAAACCGGCTAATACCGGTAATTACCTGTTAAGACGTTAACGATGTTTGCCGAAGGAGGGCGCGAGATCAAATTAGGCGAATGGCGGCCGTAACTATAAAACATAATGATGGAATCTACTTTATAGGCAAGATTTATTAATATTATACAAGAATCAATTTTACCTGAGTAGGTTTCGTGTACCGATTTTTATAAACAAAAAATTATCATATCAATAACCTAACCCTTGTCCACATTCGTTTCAATGGAACAAGAACTTGTTTTTTACTTTTTTAAGGTTAATGGTGCAGTGGAAAGATGGTCGCCCTAGCTTGATAGGTAGTTGTTTTTTTTAATACCCCCATGTCATTTGAAAGGAAAAACTGACGCCGGCAACTTCTAACAAGAACTACTTCAATAAAATTAAGTAGCTAATTAGTTTTACTTATTTAGTCATCATAGTGAACTATTTCAAAAAGTATTTATACGACTACTCAGTATTTTATATTACATCTCAACTGAACTGAATTGTTGTATTCAAAACGTACTTACAGCGAAAAACACACGCTTATTAAAACACCGAATAAAGAAAAATGAGCCGACATTTTCTCACTTCAGGTTTTTTAATGAAATATATTCTTAAATCCTCGCAAGAAGTTCGCTTTGAATAGAATCTGATTAAATCCAACGTCGAGAAAACGACGTAGGAAAAATGTCTAGATTTTAAAAGGTCTACTTTTAATACTTTGAATGTTAAATGAAATATTTACAATTCCTATTTAATAGTTTATTATCAAAAGTAAATGATAAATAATTGTCGTCTATTGTTCGAAATTCGATAATTGATATTTGTAACACGTTCAACTTTTCCAATCCGGTAATAAAAACAAAGTAACGGCCCGAGCCGAGGTTCCTCAGGGAGCCCTCGAACTTAGTTACTCATAAACGAGGTTTAGGCTGAGCGCCATCTGCGCTCGGCCAGTGGCAATTGCCATGGCAATAGTGGCAATTTAGTAAAAAAAAAGTTCAATTGTTCAGGAAATTTCCTTATAAAGTTTTCATATGATGATTCTATGATCCAATTCGATCATGATCATTTACTGACTAGAAGTTTCTTCACGACAACGCTTTGAAAAAAATGAAATATAAAAATTAATGTCAAAGCTTTTCGACGTAACAATCATAAATTGCTTTCTCTTTCAAAAGCTACAAACGGGAAAATTAATGATAGGAAATTGTTGATGGGTACTGAGTTACCCTTTGTACCCCGCCAGAGGGCGGAAAGCTCGTCGGTTTCTTTTTTATGTTTTATATACTTGTTTATGTGTATGTATGTTCCAATATCAAACTCAACTCATTTTTATACAATAATGGCGAAGCGACTGCTGCCCATAGACATCAGCAATTGCAGATGCGTTGCCTATCCTAAATCGACAGAGGAGGAGACGCACATAAAGAGGATATTTCCTCTTTCTATGCGTCTCCGTCACCGTCAGCTTCACTTTCCCATCCAATCCTTTCCTTATAAGAAAAAGGTGGAACGGTAAAGGGACTAAAATTGGGCCGTCGGTACTACACTCATCAGACGAAACGCGGAATTGCTTCCACTTCACGTCTATCTTCTGTGTTGTAGTATTTCACCGGGCGAGCGAACCCCTTTGTGCAAAGATGTTAAAGTGGGCTCTACCACTGTTAAACGTATGTATTAAACAGTCTGACCATTACCTGCTTTATCTTTACAGACGGTGTTATTAAAAAAAGATTTTATAGCATTGGATTCGTGTTAACGACATTTCATAAGTTATATAAATAGCTAAGAAGTTAATAGAAGCATTTTTATACTTCCGCATAGACTGGTATGATGAAATTATTGTTTATGATTAATTAAAGGATACGAAAATACGACACAAGAATCTCCAATTAATTGGTACTGCACAGCGTTTATTTAAATCCTTACTCAGGCTATATTTTCTGTATTAACCTGTCTATTAAGATACTCTCTGTACAGTTCAATGATGAACCGAGATGGCGGGAAATAAATAAACATTCAAAAATAGAACGCGTCTGTTTAGAAGTACAAACGTTTACGTCAATGTGACTTCATCGTTCACTGGAAATTATCAGTTTCATATTTTTATGCTTTATTTTATATTCGATTTGTAATTTTTTGTGAAATGAACAGCACTGAACTAATAACTACGTGGGATTTTATGTATAGTAGGTCAAGAAACGTACTTATACGCTCATTAGATCTACCAAACGGTTGGCTGTACCAAGTGTACACACTTTTCAGTAAGTATTTCTAATGTTTATATACTAACTTCAAAACAACATAATATTTGAGACTAAAATAATCTATATAACACCATAAACTAGCACGTAACAGCCTAATATTTTTGAAATTGTCATAAATACTGCGATAGCCATGAAGTTTATAGTTCGCACCAAACTCATAAAAAGTGGGCGTTGCCTTGATAATCCTGGAATCTGGATTCGTGCGTCACTACTGTTATTCCAGATTATAAATCTTTTTATTTATATTTTGTTTAGCACATCCCAGTTTAAAATATTTTAGTTTCATTTAAAAAAGGTTTTTTGCAGAAATTTTCAAAACACAAGAGTAACCGATTTGGAAATGCCTTATAGTCCATTTATTTTGAATCAAGAAACGACGAGTGAAAATAAGGAGCTCAAAAGTAATATGTGCAACGATTTGTGTTGTGTACTAGATATTTTTATAAGTACTATTTTCAGCATAGTCGACGTGCCCTTCAAGTTATCTTACAAGAATATTAGAAATTTACATATTGTTTTACTCCATAATTTAGGTACCTCATTGGTTTGCAAAGGTATCACAGTGTCGAATTGTCTACATCTATATATAATTAAACCTCATGATAATGGAATACTTAAAAGTGTGCGAATTTTTTGTGGACTGAAAACCATTTTAATTTTTTTATAGCTATTACACAAATTAAATTGATTAATAGTGTATTTAGAAAGAAAAAGGTGTTTCTGTTTAAAGACGAATTTAATACTAATCACTAATTATTTTTGTTCATGAAAGTTGGATAAAAAATGCTAGATAATAAATACTTTTCTTATCTGTGCCAAATTTTCGAGACAGATGACAGTTGAGTTGAGTTTTTGACATTTGATATCGAATTTTCAAAGCAAAGATTCAATTTCAATTCAAAGCAAAGCAAAAAATGGCTTCTACTGGAATTGGAATGTGTGAATCGCCCGGTTGCAAATCAATCGCTCAGTTACAGTGTCCGACATGTATAAAACTTGGCATACAGGGGTCTTTCTTTTGCAATCAAGACTGTTTCAAAAAGTCATGGAAATCTCACAAAATTATCCACTCATTGGCGAGTAAGTTTTTAGGTTAGGTTGCAGAGTGACTTTTTCCCTTTTAGTATGAAAATGTTTTGTTTTAGAGGGTGAAAGTACTGATGGTTCGAACGTTGAGTATAATCCGTGGCCGTCGTATAATTTTACGGGGAAATTGAGGCCCTTTCCGGCCGGTCCGAAGAGAACAGTGCCTCCGCATATAGGTCGTCCCGATTACGCCGACCACCCAACCGGTTTCCCTGCCTCAGAAAACGCTGCGAAAGGTTCTGGACAAATTAAAGTTTTGGACGATGAAGAAATTGAAGGAATGCGTGTCGCCTGTCGACTTGGTCGTGAAGTACTTGATGAAGCCGCCAGGTTAGTTGACATTTTAGTAAAAAAAAAAACTTTATAAAGTTGCATTCTACCTATTTTTAATTGGAGCACAATTAGTAAATAAAAGATTTAAAAAATAGTAAATGAGGAATTAAGTCTACAAGATTACATATTTATCTTGTTTACAAAAATACATTTGTTATTTGACAGTGAGGGAGACATATAGGAGGTGGAAATGTCTTCTTTCTTTGTACAGCTAACCAATAAAAATAAGAAATAAGGGTGCAAGCTTAGAAGATTATGTTATTTACAGGATATTTTCTCTTCCTATGTGCTGCTTCCTCTGTCCAAGAAAGCTAGGTAACATAATGGCATTGTGAATATCTATGGGCAGTGGTTGCTTTGCTCTTATTTGTCACCTTATGGTTTAAAAAACATAAGTTAAAAAATATCCAGCTTTGTCAAGTTTTTAATAATGGTTATAAAATTATTATTGTAATGTTTCAGAGTTTGTGATGTTGGGGTGACAACTGAGGAAATAGACAGAGTGGTCCACGAGGCTTGCATTGAGCGGGAATGTTATCCCAGTCCATTGAATTACCACAACTTCCCAAACAGTTGTTGTACATCAGTTAATGAAGTTATATGTCATGGGATACCAGATTTACGTCCATTGCAGGTATTATTTAATTTGTTCATCCTCTAAAAGCAATAAAAGGTTTATGTTTTTTTTATGTAGCTAAAAATTGGTTACCAATATAGTACAGTAGAACCTTGATAAGTTAAAGTTCAAGGGGAACACAAAATATTTTAAACTATATAGGTTTTAAGTTATCAAGGGTCTATGTTATAGAGGTTTTGGGCTCTGATGAGAAGGAAACATTATTTTTTGAAGTTATAGAGGTTTTTAAGTTACCAAGGTTCTACTGTATTACAATATTTATTTTACATTTATTGAAATAAACTATTTGTAATCTAAAGTACTTGTAAATATGGATTTAGCGCATAAAATAAAACAAATTGTTTAGTAATTATGCTTTTAGGCAATTTTTGGGCCTGTTCCCACCATTGACTGATAGAGACTCAGATAGCTTAAAAATGATGTCACTGTCTGATAAAGTAACAAACTCTGATATTTCCATCACATATTTTGCATGTTGGATTGTTATCACACAATTTACAATTTGGTAGGCAGGGTTAGTGTTTTTAAAGTAATAATTAATAAGGATTTATTATTTTACTCTTAACTCACTGTTACTTTTTGTTTGAATGTTGTGTTTGGAAATACGTAGTACAATTAATATTAATTTTGAATACTGAATATTATATTATTTCAGGACGGTGATATCTGCAATGTAGATGTAACAGTCTATCACAGAGGTTTCCATGGTGATTTAAATGAGACCTTTTTCGTCGGCACCATACTGGAATCGAGTAGGAAACTTGTTCAAGTCACATACGAGTGTTTAGAGAAAGCGATCAATATTGTAAAACCTGGAGAAAAGTATAGAGAGATTGGAAATGTGATTCAAAAGCATGCGCAGGCGAATGGATTGAGTGTTGTTCGATCATACTGCGGTCATGGTATACACAGACTGTTTCATACAGCACCTAATGTTCCGCATTACGCCAGTAAGTAAAAATCTAATTAAAATTGTGTACATTTTTAGACATCAATATAATTGTAACAACTTGTTGTATCACTCAGACCACTCCCGCTAATTCTAATGTCTAAATGACATTGACAGCTGTCAAATAGGGATGTGACGATATGCCAATGATCTAGTGTTGCGCTAATCCTACAACAGTGCTGATTTTCTTCTTAACAATAATAAAAAAAGGCGACTTTGTCTGCACTGAATTAAAAAAAATGGTAAAGTCTATCAACCTTACAAATAAATGCGGTATAATGTTATACTTAGAAATAAACTAAGTATGAGCAAATATTAGTACAGTGGAACCTCGATAAGTTAAAGTCCAAGGGAAACAAATTATTTTAAGTTATAGAGGTTCTAAGTTATCAAGGGTCGATGTTTAGGTTTTGGGCTCTGATGGGAAGGGAACATATTATTTTTTGAAGTTATAGAGGTTTTTGAGTTACCGAGGTTTGAGTTATCGAGGGTCTGCTGTACAAATATTGCTTACACCCCTATTTGTAAGGCTGTACATGTTTATCCAGACTGCGTTAGCTTACAATACAGTTTTTTAATTCCAGTCGAGGAGAGTCGCAGGTTACAGCTAGTGTATAGTAATTTTTTAAACAATGTTATGTTTGAACTTTCCAGAGAATAAGGCAGTTGGTGTGATGAAGCCGGGACATTGTTTTACCATAGAGCCTATGATAAACGAGGGTGGATGGCGAGATGAACAGTGGCCGGATCACTGGACTGCGGTCACTGCGGATGGATCTCGTTCTGCTCAGGTAATTACATTGAAGTGAATGGAATTGAAAATCAGATGTTATAATAATGGCTCCTATGTAAACTATTGTAAGTTACAATTTTGTAATTTTTATTACTTTGTATTAATTTGATGAATGCTGATTCTATTTTTATTTGTATGTAAATTTAGAAAAAGAGTTAAAGTATTTGGTTGTCTATAGTAAGTAAATATTATTACGTATTAATGCTTGATTTTGTATCACTTTTTTATTTTTTAATAGCTTAATTTTCATGGAATCGATACATTAGCCGCATTTTAAAAACACAAGTGGCCCATTGCCAACCGTTTCCTTAAAGGTCACAAAGCATCTGTAGTACATCTGATGTTGCGTATGTTCATGGGCGTCGTTGACCTTTCATATTAAAAAATATATATATACACAGAGGTATAAAATAAAAAATATATGTGAAAAATTGTAACAGATAGCAAAAGGGGGAGGCTCAGCTTAACCCACATTGGTTAAGATCCAGTAACAAGCTGGTTTTCAGCCACCCCCCCTTCCCAAGATGTAAAACGGAGCGTAGATAATCGGAGGTCACTATACACTAAGCTTAATAGTCATAACAGATTTAATAATTGGTTTTAAAATGTATAATAATGTTGAAATATATATTTCCAGTTCGAGCAGACGCTGCTGGTGACGGAGACGGGGTGCGAGGTGCTGACGGCGCGCGCGCGCGGCTCGCCCTGGTTCCTGGACCAGCTGGAGGCGCTCAACGCCAACTCCTGAACCCTCGCCCTGCCCCCGCATTGAGGTAATTATTACATTTCTGCTCATATCCAACCGGCATAAGCATCTGGTTTCAACGATTTTAACCTCTAAAACCTTTATAAGTGAGAAATAGGGCCTGTACTACCAAATTGTAAAATAAATAAATAAAAATAAAGAATTTTGATTAAATCAAGTTAAGTTACAAGTTAATTAGGTGTAGGGACTTCCTTTTAAGTAACCAATAGGCACTTGTGTTAGGAAGTCCCGCTGTTCCGAGTAACACATAATTCACAATTGTCTGATAACAATCCAACTTGTAAAATATGATGGAAATATCGGATTTTGTTCCCTTATCTGAAGTCATGTTATTTTTAAACTATCTAAGCCTCTATCAGCCAGTGGTGGGACAGGCCCTTCTATAAGTGACAGTTATTGGTCAATCGGATTTTAGCTTCTAAAAAATAAGCTAGTCACGTCCGGTTTCTAGATTTTTAGTCCTAAAACCAATATAAGGGAGAAACAAACTCTTATAAGCGAGACTCGTGAATCATAGATTTTTTGTACCCAGCACACTAATACTACTACATAGAATATTGTCTTGATATTTTCTGTATAAACTATAAGTGACAATGACTCTAAGCAAGAAATAGGCTTAGAGAAAAACCTCTATAAGCGACAAAATTGTAGTCGCTTTGACTCTTTCTTATCCTGGTTGGACTATAAATACCCCCAAACTAGTCTATGTAGATCCCCTGAGGTCCATGAAAGGGGGTTACAATAGATGGTACAAATAAAATCACAAATATAAAAACATTCATTAAATGAGGGTCTGTGAAAAAAATTGTTTTTTTTTTTGAGTAATGTTAAAAAAATGTATTTAAAAAAATACTTTGATATTAGAAAATAACACAACTCTGTCTATCCCCGTATGTATTTATTTTTATTACTACAGTAGCACCTCGATAAGTTAAAATCCAAGGGAAACACAAAATATTTTAAGTTATCAAGGGTCTATGTTAGAGGTTTTGGGCTCTGATGAGAAGGGAACATATTTTTTGAAGTTATAGAGGTTTTTATGTACCGAGGTTCTACTATATTTGGAAATTATATTGTTAACATATTTGACTTCCTCAGGTAATCACTTAAAATTTCAAGGCTGTGGTAAAAAGCTTCAATGCAAATGTAGATAGAAATATGAATCATAACTAGAAAAGTACACTAAAATATTTTTATAACAATCTCAATGTGCGGGCAATATTTAATGTTTAAAATAAAGTTATTTTATCTTAACGCTAGATGAGTTTAATTAATTTTCGAATAGATAAATAAAATTGTTAAATAAATCTTATTGGAGTTTCCTAATCACTAAGAAAGTGACTTACTAAATATACAGTCTATGGAGTGTTTTATTCAAGTTTGACGTACAAGAGTCGGTTTAAAAAATGTCATATTGTATTGAAACTGAATAACACTAAGGGGTCTCCCTTTTTTTCCCTTTTGTACTACACTAAGTACATAAAGGCCAATTATTGAAACGACATAACGTAACACATTTACGGCCAAAAATTAAATTACATTATTCCAGTCCAGCGTTTGATATACGCTTTGAATTACAACTGGAAAGAGTAAAAACGTTTGTAATCTAGTGCTGATTTTAAATGGACTGGAATGTACTGGTTCTTTCCATTATAATTCCAGTGAAACACTTGTATACATTTGTTGTCTTTGTTTTCTCAATAAGAGTGAAAAAGATGGCACTATTGTATACAGGTGTTATGCATTTGTGAACCATAGTTATTGTTTTATAATCAAAGAGATTAAAAAAATATGTAGAGAAAGTATGTGTGAAAAGCAAGCAAAAACGGGAAATGTTTAGTGCCCCATAGAGCAAGTTTATTATTAGCACCTTTGAATAAAATCTATCTGAAGCAATGATCTGCTGACGTCAGATCACGAATATTTTTTTGTAATTATTGTCCTAAAAAACATTTCAATATGGTCACCGTAGCCAGAGAGGGAAAAATGTTATGTATTGAGGTCTTGCTTGGCTTCAATTTTTCGACAAGAGCTCTATCCTGCTTTAGTAATACATCCATGGACAAACTATAATATTTAAATAAATTGCCAATAGGTGTCGCTAATTCAATTTTTTTCGTGACACTGTTTAGTTCATTTTATAACAAAAGATGGAGTTTATTATAATTTTGTTAAATGTTTTTATAATCAATACAAGGATAAGATGGCACTAAACTTGGTAACTATAGTTTGTCTAAATAAGATATATTAGTTTGATAAATAATGCATATGAAGTATCGAATTCAATTTGTATGAGGGCAAATGCTATACTTAATAGACAGGTATCGTAGTGACGAAACAAACACGCAGCGAACAATTATGAACTATCGATATTCTGTTTAAATATTTATTGAACTCAACTAAAATTATTATTTCCTTATTAACTAATTTAGAGGACAATTCTAGTATTGATTATAGTGTAGAGAATTTTGCGATTACAGAAATAATAGCGAAATCCAATTCGATTACGTACGGCTGTAGTAATAAACATTTATTTACTCTCATTATTTCTTATGGTCATTATTAATTTGAGAAAACGGTATTTTTTTTATTCATAAGTTATAACTATAACTCTATCGATTCCAACTTCTATAAGAATAAAAATCGAAAATCGATAAGATTCATGACTGATTTTATGCAACACATCCCTACTAAATTTGAAAAGAATTGTCAAACTAACCTATCTTATTTAGACACACTATAACATAGTACCTTTTAAAGAAGTTACCAGTGAAATGTTTACTATGTCTAGTCTATATAAATTTTTTAATCTCTTTGTTTATAATTTACGAATAATATAGAAACAATAGGAATGTTTTTGAATGTTGTATAAAAGTTAATATGTTTTGATAGTGACTTGGAATAATAAAAGTTTATGAAAATTTTAAATGTCTTTTATTTGTTTTTACTTAAAATAAATAACAATGAGCTAAATGCATTAAATACAGAATAAATATATTTACAAATTTTACCCAAGATTTTTAAAAATGCTGCTTTTGACAACAAGAACTTTTGTTTTGTTGTAAAGAGACCAGACTATAAAATGATTTTGGGACATTTATAATTAACTTTTTAAATATTATTTTTGCTTAGAATTAAAATTATTACACAGATGTTGATTTAACCCTTTTTTTGTTACTTTACAACTACCATAAATAAAAGATAATTAGGTTTTAACTAAATTTCCACTGCAGTGACACTTGTATTCCTATCTATATTTTGGCAAAAAGAATGAAAAGGATGACAATATTTGTATTGTGTATTGTAGCTAAGTGTCACGCCAGTCGAAATCAACTTAAGTATTCGTATGACTCAAGTAAAAGGCGTAAAAATTTTGTCCTTAAATTTAATCGTTGGCTTTTTAATAAATCTACACTTAAATTACTCTTCATATTCTTCAAATAATGGAATGTAATCGTCACTCCTAGAGCGCAGTTTCAAACCGAATTGAGATATGCTTGCATCTGGTATGGTTTTTTCAAATGGTTTCGAAGTAACTGTGTTCCAACTGTCTTTTGCATCTTGTTTACGGGTTACTACTTCTTTGACATGTTTAAGGTTTGATAATTTTGATAGCATTACCTCCTTCTGTAAATAAATAACTACATAAGATACTTTTAATCAAATTGAACTAGGAGTCACATGCGACGTCTGCAAGGAATTAAAAAAAACTTTTAGTATCCCTGGTGTTCTAGGCTATGCTATATATTTATGCCAAATTTCATGAAGATCCGTTTAGCCGTTTAGAATGTAATCTTACAAACATCCATCCAAACGTAGAAACTTAAGAATTTATAATCTTAGTAAGAGATAAGATTACAAAAATTTAAATTGTATGGGCGTTCATTGGACGAAAATATCAAGATTTCCTTAACATTACATAATATTTATTTAATTTAAAAATAGTTTTACGAAGTTCATCTGATCCTTTCTCAACTTAACTCAATCCCTTAAAAAATTGAATGTTACCGTTATGTAGTATTTTTTATACCAAATGTAACGTTACTTGGATGCGGCAGTTCATGGTTAAAAATTCTTACCATAAAATCTTACCTGAATAGGATTTTCAGAATAACTCGCGTAGATTCTCAACACAGGCTCTCCTGTTTTATCATCAAATGTCAGTTTAGTTTTCGGCGGTATTTTCGCTTTTACTACATTCAACTTTTGTGGATTATCTTTCTTTTCAGTTGCCGCAAATAATCTTAACGGTGCCCTCCATGATACGTTGGCTTTGCCTTTGTTAAAGTCTTTATCTTCACTTATCATTGCTTGTACTAACTGACCAGCGTAGACATTACCATTTTTATTTTTGGAATCTTCTTGAGAACGTAATACCCTATAAGTAAAGTTAACCGAATCAGCTGTTTTTTCAAACGGAGCTCCGGCAAAGTTTATTTCATTAGATAAATTTATTTCATTGCTTTCTTTGTTTAACGATTCGTTAGCTTCTGCTGTTTCTGATTTAATTGTAGTTGTGATATCTACGTGTGCGAGTTCATTGACCTTTTCCACTTGTGCTAACGCGGCTGCTGCTCTCACATCGTTTATAGCTGAATAAAATCCTTTAGCTATAATGTTACCTATACTTTGACCAACTTGAGCGTAGTATATTGGTGTAGTGGTTTGTTCTGTTGTAGTTTCTATTAATTTAGTTGTTGTCGGAAGTTCTGTTCCAGAAGTTTCTGTTGCGTTTTCTTGATCGTTAGGTGTTGTATGAGTTCCATTTTGCGTCACATTACTAGGAGCAAATGGTTGTGGAACTATAGACATAAGAGACGCTTCTTGAGTTTCTCTTTGTACGATGTTTTTGTGAGGTTCATCTGATTTGAAAGATGGTTGTTGTGTTATTACTTCGTTTTCTAATAAATATAATTCTGATTGTGTTGTTTGTTGAATTTGGGGTTGTATTTCAGCGGTGTAAGGTATAAATTCAACTGCAGGGAACTGTTGTAGTAATTGACTTTGTAGTTTTTGTAAGAAGTTTGGATCGTTTTGGTAGAGTGCGCTCGGTGGGATTATTATTCCTTCAGCTGCTGTTTGCAAATCCTGATGAGGAGATAAGTCTGGGAAGCCCTGGAATACAGACGTGATTTTTACATACATTGTTTTATTACAAAGTAACCTTTGACTAAACTATGGCACAACTGTTGTACGATTGTCGATTGTTTCGCAGCCAATTCAACTGTTTAGTTGCACAACTAAAAATCGAGTAGTGTGCGCACCTCCATAGCTCATAGGAATCAAAGGGAGACTAAACAGTTGTGCGATACTTTAGTCAAAGATGTGCGTGCGTTCTTTAAATTACTTGGGTAAAGAGATATTGGTTTATATATACCTGAATTGAGAACTGTTGTGGGTTTTGTGGTAGTGGTAGAGTCGGGTGTCCATACTGCGCCGACAGTGGAAAAGACGCTCCGTTCTGCACGAACTGGTGTAGTTCAGGTGTTTTTAAAGACTGGAAGTTAGTATGGATGTTATTCTAAATATATTGCTGACAGATTCTTAGAATATTCTTTAAAGTAATTGATAATTATAGTTTTACTTACTGACTGTTTTGAAAATCCTGTTGGAGCTTCGATTTTAGCTGGTATTTGATACACTTGGGGCTCCGAATATTTTTCAGTAACTTCGTATGTTTTGATCTGTAGATAATGTAAATATTATTATTTATACCGATAATTCTTCCAACTGCTAGTATGAATGATTTATGTAGCTTTTATATCTATATAATAAAGCGTACTTATGTAGGATGTCAGCAATCACAGTATGTTTTTGAAAAATCTATTTTTAGCCCTACATTTACGACACGCTCTAAGCTGTATATTGTTACGTTCTGAAACTCAGGGTGTAAATAAATTGGAAAAATCCGTTATGCAGGACAGGGACAAAACTACAATGCTGACAATAGCTGTAAAGATGCAAGGTTTTTATATCATGTGGATGAAACCGCACGGGAACAGCTAGTCTAGGAATAAAATTACGGTCGCTAGCCGATGGTCACGGAAGGAGGATTGGTCGACGGTCGATGGCTGGAATATACTATTTTTCGATTGTCTACAAGGGAGGGGCAGTTACCCTGACTTTTTATGTCCATAATCCTACATTTTAATTAATTCTTAGTTAATCTACTTACGGGTTCAGTGGCTGGCGCAGTGTTAGCAGTATCGGTGTCAACAACGACGATAGGCTTCTCTGACAGGCTGAGGTTGGGCGCTGGTATCGTGTGTATCGCACCTGCTGTCAAATATCACTGACAAACATTGCACTGTCCACGGCAACGTCAACCATAGTCATTGTAAATATACCCGGGGAAACATAATTCCTACCCACGTTGACTACGTAATTAGTTTGAAATATTTTCATGCCTACGTTCGTGTCAAGTTCTTATACATTTTCAATTCCTTGACTGTAGGCGGAGGATACTTTCCTGAGTACCTACGCTAAAAATACTATGGATGTGTTTTTGCAATATGTTTTTATAAATAAAAGTTGTTTTCCATATTACAAAGACTATGCCGCTGACATAACTATGCCGTGGACATGAACATCTTTCTTGTGCATAATGTGCGGGAAAAAGTTGTAAAGCATAATTACACAGAGAAAATTCGTTCAAAATTATGAAACATTGTAAAATAGATACTCGTAAAGTACTAAACGACGGAAGATGGTTCAAACTAGAGGACAGTAACCTTACGTTGTCTACTAGTGTGCGACAAGGACAGGGATATAATGACGAATAGAGATAATGGCAGTAGAATATAGAGTAGTGCAGTGCTGATATAATCAACCTGTATCACCGTGTGCGTGGAGTAGAGGCGGCGCGGACGCGGCTCTTAGCAGCTCGTAGTCTGCGACAGGCGGCCGTCCTGTCTTCCACGGTCCGCTCGGGATCGCGTTACGGAAGTGCATGTGAGGCTTAATAGCGTATCTGAGAGAAAATGTCTCAATATTGGTACCAATACGTTAAAGACTCACTCACAATACTATTAAATTATGCGTAATGCCTTAAAAGGACAAATTGTGCGTACCGCAGGCTCAAATTTATTCCCTTTACCCTCCTAATCTTCTTTGTTTTTTTATTGAAGTATAAACTAGTGCTCGACCACGATCCCACCTGATGTTGAGTGGTGAGAAAGGAAAGTTGCTTGAAAGATGATATGCATTGGTAAAAATCCTCTTTATGTCGTGCGTCGATTAAGGGTAGGCAACGCATCTGCAATTGTGGATGTCTATGCGGCCGCATATTCGGCGAATTCAGGTGCCCGCTGTGTTACCATCTTATCATATTTCAAAAAAACAATGCGTAATAACATTTATGATATATTGCTTATTGTAATACTACAGAAAAGCGTTATTCTTTTGAGTGTTATACAATAAGTTGATCCCTACCTGTGTGGAATCGGTCCTCTATATACTACATAAGGTCGGTACGCGGGTACCACGCGTTGATACCACGGCCTCTGCAGCACAACTCCTGGTCGGAAGACAGCTGGCGCGCGAGGACGCACCATGGCCATGCGACTGATGTACGCCGCATGTGATAACGAACATATCGTCATATACACTAGGTGTATCTGAAAAACAAACAGATATACATAACTATCTTTCGGGTTTAATAACAGTGAATACGAATCGGAAGAGAGGTTTATAAGTTAAATTTTCGCCCGCGTTACAAAATCAAGTAGCCTGTGTGTTCTTCCAGACTATCCTCTACAACTGTGCTATATTTCATCGAGATCCGTTCAGCAGTTTCGGCCACAAACTCTAACAAACATCCATCCACCTATACATTTAAACTTTCGCATTTATAATATTAGTAATACGAATTGAGTTCAAAGTTTAAAATATTTAATGAAGATATTAGAGAAAAAACTTTGGTGTATGCTCTTCAAAGTGTTTTGAACTTAATTTCAATTTGTCTTTTTATTTATAAACGAATGTCTAATGAGTAAGTACAGCGACAGACTAGTGGTCTATATAAGGGAGGTGTTGGAAACACGGCGCATGACCGGTTCGCTTCGGAAGAGAGTTTGTCGGAGATATTGCAGGCATTCTACACATATCACTGCTTAGAATTCTATATAGGTTACTTTCTTACTTTTTTGTTTGCAGATTTCAAAGTCATAAAGGTGCTGCCACACTAACGTCACATCATTTAATATTGTAAGCCAATATATTTCTGATAATACATATGCTAGTCTGTTTATTAAAGACACTGGAATTAAAAAAAATACATGACGAAAACAGATTTAAAATAAGCAATATTATATCAATTACCACACCCTTGAATTACTGGTATTTTTTTTTAAATTGGTATTTTGGTCAAAAATGCTCGCGAATGAAAATGTAATAAATCAAATTGATATGAAGATACGACAGAACATTTCACTTTTCTAACGCTAATTAATTGAATCATGCGATTAAGTCGGTGTGAACGGCCAGAGACATGCCACGGGTGGCCGCGCGTGAAACCGACTGCTTGGACAAATTTCTCGCGCCGGTGACTTTAGTGGAGGTACTCTATTTAAAATATAATAATGCTATATTCTGTGGTTATATGACTAGCTGTTGCTCGCAACTTTGTCTGGGTGGATTTTAAGAACTTTCCAATAAAAATTCTCTCAAAATCGCTGATCGGCCCAACTATATCAGAGAATACGAAGAACATACGCAGACTTGAGGACATTATGTTAATATTTTTTAATTTCATGTGACATCCAATAAAGCTGAAATGATTTCTTTCTTATCTTACCTAATTGTGTTTGATCACGAGAATTGCTAAAAAAAAACTAAATGATGACTGCTTCATTATTGATTGATCACGCAAGAAAACTGTAGTCATGTTAATTTGAATGAAATACTTGTTCATTATTTATATATTACCGGACTAGCTTTCGCCCGCGACTTCGTCCGCGTGGTATTATAAAAAAACAAAACCGAGTAGCTTATGTGTTCTTCCAGACTATCCTCTACATCTGTGCAGAATTTCATCGAAATCCATTCAGCCGTTTAGGCTACAAACTCTAACAAACACCTATCCATCCATCTAAACTTTCGCATTTATAATATTAGTATGATTAGTATGACTATTAGTGTAGACATTTACACCACAATAATACCTGTTCTTTAGAACCTACTACGTAGTTATTTACCGCGACTACTCTATGTGTTCTTCCAGTCTAAGTTCTACATCTATGTCAAATTTCATCGAGATCCGTTCAGTAGTTTAGGCTACAAACTCTAACAAACGTCCATCTAAACTTTCGTATTTATAATATTAAGTATGATAATAATTAATCTACTATATTAATTTTAATTATCACATGTTAAAATTTGCGTCGCATTTGGAATGCTCTTTCCTCATTGGTATTTCCAAGCCAATACATCTTAGAATTCTCACAAAAGCGAGCCTTGACCTCCTCTAGATTAGTTGATACACATAGAATACTACAAGCCTACAAGAAATAATAGTTTTATACGAGTAGGTGCATTTTATGAGTATTCTAGCTAACTAACGGTCCTCTGCACTCCAATTACCACGGACATGAAGCATTTGCTTAGATTCGTAGTTGATTTCTACATTATTGCTCAAAGTATGTTTTTTTTTTACCTTTTTCTGTTTATATTTATAATTAATACCATGCTTTCAGTTGAAGTAAATGTATCAGTAAGAAATGTATCAGTTATTGATGCTTTGACTACTGTTGCTCAATTAAAAAAAAAATGGATTCCATTTTACCGTACAGTTTTATGCGTTTTCATCGCTTTTTTATCTGTACATAATCTTAGTAAGGACAAAATGTTTGATTGCTTGCAATGAATAGGCTGCGAAACTATTGAATGGATTTAAAAAAATGTTAGAAAGTCACTGATAATATAGGGTATATTTTACAATATTGGGTAGGATCCATACCCTTGTCCATACATGACAGAAAAGATACGAGACATTTATTTTCTTGTAAGACTTTTCTTTCAATCTTAACATGCTAACTAAGAACTTTACCGAAACAAACCCTTCCCGGTATAATAATTTATATTATTTAATACGTTACAGTTGCAATCTCCGGTAACATGTTTATAATTGTCTAACCGCAATAGAACCGCAATGCTCTATTAGCTAAGTGCGTCACAACGGTTGTAAGACGCGATGTGAAATCTAAACGGACCGGTCTCGGACGCTCTCTACTCATAACACGTCTCATCATCTATATACGTTACCTAAAGGACGTGGAAAGTGCATACAAAGTACTAATATCCTTTAGTAACAAACTCTTGTAGTCTCCATAATTACGCATTTTATCACTAAGGTGTAATGCCAGTGTCGTTTACGAACTTCTTTACGATTAGCTGTTCCTTGCGATTTCATCATCATCAACTTGCCCTTATCCCTTCGGTCGGCACAGTATGTGCTGCTCTTCCATACATCTCTATCAGCCGTCATATCTGAATCCACTCCTTTCTTAAGCATATCCTCTT